GAGTTGTTTGCACGGCTAAGCAGAACGTCTGCACAGATGTGGCTGTGGCCCCCCCCAATTCAGCTGCAAGGCTTAAACAGCAGATAGCTGCCATTGGGCTGCTTCCAGGGCTGCAGGGAGGGCTGGAGAACCAGTCATCACTGTGCTGATCCTTCGCTGCAGAAATCATCCAGTGAAATGGCTGCAAAGAGCAAATTACTTGATACAATTGTGCATAATAAATACAGTTTACTACACGTGATGTTTGATTGTCTGGCATGTAGGATCAGAAAGGAGGACACCCAGCACAGCAGAGGGGCAGATTTCCTTTTCAAGCTTTTACATAGATTGACCCACCCTGCGAATTGTCCCACCTTGTGCTTCTCTATTCATGGAGGTTTTTTTCCCTTTAGTTTGTTATTACTGTTCTCTGTGTTCCCTGCTGCTACCTTTTAGAGACTAAAATCTTCTCGTACCTTTTGACTTAGAATTTAGAATTTGGCTTTGAATTTAGCTGGCTGATAAAGTATACTGATTTCTGAATTTCAGTCTTAATTGTCATTGCAGTGAGCATGGCGGGTGTGTGTACAGCAGCACGTACTTTCAATAAAGTTGCTATTATTGTTTTCATCATGCTTCCATTTTTACCCCAGGGGCTTGTACAAAATCACCAGACATACAGCAACAAAAAAATCCTCCTGCCCCCTGCCCCTAAAAATCTCTTTTCAGAGACAGTGCTAGGCAGCACTGTGACTGCCTCACTGCTCTGAGTTCTCACAATCCTCCAATGTTCCATTAACAGCATTTTCCCCTCCAGCTAGAAACAGCCATCAAGTCACACAAGGCAAAATTCTTGTGAGTCCTCTAAAACCCATTGATAAATGCTATGGGTGGCTGTTCTCCCCAGATGAGAACTCTGACTTTAACAGTCAAATAAAGTCTGTCTTGTCAAATGTGTTGTGCATCTAGCTATGCTGTTCAACACCTCACATCCTTGGGTGGGTTTGCATTTCCAGAGAAGAGTCCAGGGGTGTATTCTAATCCTCTTACTGTGATTTTTGAAGTAGCCCAGCTGGAAACTGGAATTAAGGGAAGCTGAAGCGCTTGAAAAAAAAGTCATACTTATTTGAGATAATGCACAGAGCTCCTGAGGATGAAAGTGTAAATTGAAGGCTACACCTGACTGGTAGCCATGTGTGCAGAGGAGAGCCCACTGCCTGCACATTTATCTGTTCCTTGTTGACACTCCAACCCTCTTAATGGCTCTTTTCAGCCTCCATTTAGGGGGAACTCCACTGACAGCACTGTCCCTCTGATATTCACAGGGTTCGATGTACTGTGATGAGTGGAGGGTGTCTCCTATCATGTCATCCTAGACTTATTTCAGTCAATGGAAGCTTAATAGTTCCCAAAATTGGAGGAAGAGTTTGCTTAGCCAGGAGTATGGCTCTCCTTCCAGTACAGGTTTAGACAGTCTGGCTTTCTGAGTTGGTGGTGGACTGTGGGTAACTGCAGTTTCACAATGCAGAGCTTTATAGGAGAAAATGTCAGAATGGGATGAATCCTGCCCAGATAAACTGTATTCATTGCACAATAACCGGAATACCTAGATTTGTATTATAGCCCTGGTAGGGCAAAGCAAAGGCTGTGGCTACCCCGTGCAAAACTGTATCCCGCTTATTCTTCCTGTACACACCCTCTTGATTTGATTTTGATTTTATAACCATTGATTTGCCACTTCAAGAAGATGGAACTGAGTTCCTAATGCCGTTAAAAAAAAACAAGTGCAGTAGTAAGTACTTCAGAAAATTTTCTCTCAGCAGTGATATTTGCAGAATTACTCCACGTAGCTTCTGTTCCTTGATGGCTCAGAGGGGTCCTCAGATACTTGAAGGCTTGTTGATGGACCAAGATGGAAAGGCACAGTTAAAATAGTACAGGTCAATATAAAGTGGAAAAATTGATGAGTTTGTTGTTGCCCAAATTGCAGGTTGGCAAAATCTGCTCAACTGAGCACCTTCTTGATGACTATGCTGATACAGTGCCTTCTCACATCAAATGTGTTTTAAGATGCCTTTACACTGATTGTAGCTCATGCCCCAAATAGTTTTGTAATACAGCTTTCCAGTGAAGAGCAAGATTTCTTCTCCTTTACAGGAAAGATGTACCTGCAGTATACCTACTCTGTACCAGAACAGCACGACCTTGGTTCTTTGGTTTTATTTTGTGTTACTCCCCTGTGGTTCCCAGGGAGAAACGTGAAATACATGCACATTTCACGTTTGAGTATTTTTGCTGGTTTTCTGCAACTGCTAATTGCAGAATATAGCTACAAAATGCAGCTGGTTTCCTCACCAGCTTTTCATGTATGCAAGGGTAAGACCACGTTGTCCCAGGTGAGGGTGTACAAGCTGCTGTGTTCAGTGGCCAACACCAATGGCTTCAGAGGAATCTAGAGGAGCCACGTGAGCTAGCTCACCTGCAATGAATGTGGGGCAAGCAACCTCAGCATCTGCCCTGCATGCAAGCAGCTGCCCTGGGATAACCGCTGTTTTACAAAAGCCCACTTTCAGACTACAGTATTTTGGCACAAACCCAAAAGGCCTGTATCTTACCTGCTTCAGGTTCACAGAGCCATGTGCTTAAAGCTGGCTGCATCCATAATGCCTCTTGCAGCAGAGTTCAAGAACAAGCTGAGTATCTTCTCAGCAACTTTGCCATCTTTGTCTGCCACTGCTGCTGCATCCACTGCCAGGTTAGTTGCTGCATAGGTCAGCAGCCTGTGCTGGCTTACCCCACAGTTGGGCAAAACCTCCTTTCCTGCTGTGGAGGGATGGGGTGCGGGACAGATTGATGACCACCATTGCTGCATACACACGCAGCTGGCAAAGACAAAGTCCCAGCCTGCGGTCCCTTTTGGGAAGGCCAGGGGATAGCCAGGTCGGGCAGTCAAGGGCTAGCACTAGCCACAGTGCAACGGCACTGCATTGACATCACTGGCAGCTCTGCAGGTAACACCTCAAATCCCACGGAGCACAACCGGCTCTTGTGCTTGCAGCAGTGCTCTACTAACCAATCAAGGACTTCCCTTCTGCACCAGTCTCAGCACTGAAGTGTTCTTAATAACGTTCTCCAGATAGCATAGCATTCAGCTGAACCCGGGGACTCGTTTGATGGAAAACAAACAAATAACATCTGCCTCAACTGCAGATAAAAACAACTTCATGAGTCTTTTCAAGGTCTTCGTTAGCTTTTACACAGACACAGTTATTTGCCCTACTGCTGCCAGCTGGTTTTAATGCTAGAAGTAAGTCCATATGTTATGGCACAAGTTGTTTGCAAAATGCCTGACATACAAATACAATGGATTAGAAAGTTTTGTATCCTTACCAGAGCAAATGAAACAGAAACAACTTTTTCCTTCATGCTTACAGGTTCCAGGAGGAGTGGACTCGAGATATGGTAGCTCCTGGATGTTGCAAAGACAATCATCATCTGCCTAAGTTACCGAAGAGCAGCAGTGGATGTGTAAAACAAGCTGTACCAGGACACAGCACTGTGGTAGAGACAGTGAATTCAATACATGTCATCGAAGTCTATGGACATAAGGACAGTTATAACAAACTGAGCTGTCAGATACCTGAATAGCTGGTGTCTGAACTACCATTGCTTCTCTGTACCAAAATGAAACTTGGATAGAAATATGTGCCTTAAGGACAAAATAGAAAGTTTTTTCATAAGAATGCAAAAGTTTTCTATATTCCAAGATGGTTATTTAACAGAAATGCTTCAAGGTCTGGTACAAATATAAAAAAAATGTTGAGGCTGGCAGTCTTTAGCCATTCTCTACAGTGTGCTATGTATTGTCACCGTGGCAAAAGCATAACATCATTCTTCTGTACACCTAGAGAGATATGGTAGCTGGTTTGTATATTTGCCTCCTACAAAGTCACTGATGATAATTACATATTCATACAATTGCAACTTTCTTTAGTGTTTTTGTAAGCTTTTCAGAATGAAAAATCATCCATATTTTTACACAATAGTATGATGAAACTGCAATAAAATCTTGTTTCTAATTAAAAGCCCTGGTTGATCTGTATCAGGAAGGGCTTTTTGTTGAATTCATCTGCTTCCCATGTAGAGAGCACGTGCTGCTGGGTGCAGTAGAGGCACATCCCCATGTCCAGTGTCCTGTCGGAGAGTGGAGCACGCATGGAAGGAAGTGCTGCCTTGCTGTGGGACGCTTTGCCCCATGAGGGATCAAAGCATTGCCCACCTCGAGATGGTGTGTGTGTCCCAGTGAGGGAGCAGCCTGTGTCCCGGCTTGCGGATGGGGAAGGCGGTGTAGCCTTCCTGGAGCACAGGTGATGGCTGCAGCATCCCTGTGAAAGCGCTCTAAATAAAGGGGTGACGTAGGTTTTTTTTTTGAAACCTGCCTTCTTTTCCTATAACTGATCTGTTCACTGTGTGAGGAAACAAGGTTGTGGGGCTTTTTGTCTATGTTGGATAGGTAAGTAACTGAAATGGCTCTTACTCTGCTGTTTAAATGCACACACATGTATTTGCTACAGTTACAGTATAGTTATTTTTGTTCAGGTTGAAGCCTTATTTATTCTTCTGCCATCAGCTGTTTAATGGGCATCGTGACATTCCTGTCATGATGGAAATAGGATCCCATAGCAAGAGGTATCCTCTTGAGACCTTCAGTTCTAAAGTTTCAGGTCTGAAACTCAAATTATTGTAGTTTGCTGGGTGGCCTGGAAATGCCCTGTTCCATCCTGGTCATACTTGGCAGAGATCAAAAACATGTGCTTGAACTTCAGCTATGTGGAAGTTGCAGCAAAGGAGCTTTTTTTTTTGTTCCTAATAAGCTCAGTTCCCCTATACATTATAACAGGCTGCACTTCTGCAACATGCGTCTTAATATGTGGTGTGAAAAGGAAAATGGCTGTACTTTTCAACACTCATTCCAATTATGTTCTTAATTCATTAAATTAATAGAAGCTGATGTTTATCAGGACATATTTGTGCTGTGAACCATTTTGCCTGCAGTTTTTTGGTACCCTGCCAGACTCAGCCAGCTTCTGTAGCCAGATGCACTCTTGCATCCCAGGTGCAGCATTTGCCACTGGCTGCACATGGGGCTGGCACTAGCTCTGTTGCCTGTCCTGCACCAGCAGCCCAGCTGCAGCCACAGCAGGCAGCTTGCAGTGTTGCTGGCAATGTTTGGAAGGATACAAAGGGGTCAGAAAATTCTTGAGAAGATGCAAGGCAGTCCCTAAGAAGGGCCAGCTGGAGGCCCTAGCAGGGTTTTCTCAAATGGAAAATGAAGTGCAAGGATGTGAAATCTCTGCACAAAGCTACATGCTCCAGCCATCCCAGCAGCAGCTCTTCCTCATGGCTGGGGATGGGGCTTTCGGGCAGGACAGCTGGGAACGTCTGTGCTCTACCTGCCAGAGGAAAGCACTCCTGGGTCCTGTCTGAGAGCGAAGGCTTGAAGAGCATCAGTGGCAGAAGTACTCAGGTGGATGAAAATTAAAACAAAATGTATAAAAGGAACACAGAGAAGAGCAAAGGCTGGGGAAAACCAGCCAAACACCTGAGATGCTGCTATACATGTGGCGAGTACATTAGAATTAAATTATATGGAAACAACACCCGTACTGGTTTTGTAAGATTTGTGCTCAGTGTTCTCTGGGACTGTGCTTAGTTTATGACAGCTGCACCCCCTGGAGTTAGATTTATTGCTCATGTAAACATTATTTGTTGTCAGGAGGAAAATGAGTGCTGTGCAGGAAGGAGATGAAGCAGCTGAGAATCTAAAATAGATGATTAAAAACTCATATTTATTAAGTTAACTCTTAAATGTTTGCCAGCCAGTGCTTTCAAGTGGATTCAGGCTCCCATTTCTACTACATACAGAAGACCTGCATTTCCTTGTGTATTTTATCAAACTGGTGGCTTGCACTTAAAGAACAAGTTAAAATGGTGCAAACATCATAAAGACGCACAAGACAGTCCCTTCCTTACATGGTCGCTTCTAACTGATGTATGCTACAATATGACAGGATAACACTTGAGGATTTTAAAACTGGTAACTGTTTAGCAGAGCAATTGCTTATTTGCATTCCCTCACCTTGTATTTTAAAACTGTTTTCCTATAGTTGCTTTTGCAACTAATTTTTTTTAAAAATAATGTCACACAGCACAATTTTTCAATAATCTTTGTTAGTAGATGGAATTGAATCTTCTGTTTGGAAGAACCAAGAAGAAAATCTGACAACATGCCAGCTGATAGCTTTTGAGATGACTTAAACTTGCATCCTTTCATAATGTTGACAGCTCAGCAAGAAGCTGTTGAACTGTAATACATATTTGATTTTGTTCAGGGACTTCTTAAGTGTTCTGTGAAAGTTTCAAGGAAGATCCACATAAACACTACCTGATGACATAAACACCACCAGTGCGCAGCAGCAACCCAGAAGACCAATTGAATTGGCTGCAGCGACCATGAAGCAGTTGAATTTAAGATACTCAGGGCAGATGGAAGAATGTATTCTAAGCTTAGGACCCTAGACTTTAAGCATGCAGACCTTGATTGCTTCAGGGATCTGCTGGCCAAAGTATCATGGGATGAGGCCCAAGACATACTGGGTCCTATCAGTATTCAAGGAGCACCTCCTCTGTGTCCAGGAGCAATGTATAGCAACAAAGAGGAAAGCAGAAAAGAATGCTAGGAGGCCTGCCTGGCTGAGCAAGGAGCTCCTGGACACGCTATCACGCAAAAGGAAGCTATACAAGGGATGGAAGAAAGGACAGCTAGAATGGGGGGTATATAAGGAAGCTGCCCGAGCAGTAAGAGATCTGGTCAGGAAAGCCGAGGCACAATTTGAATTGAATCTAGCTAGGGAGGTCAAAGCAAACATAAAGAATTTCTACAGGTATATTAATGGTAAAAAGAAGACCAGGGAAGGTGTGGGCCCCCTCAGGAGGGAAACAGGTGAAATGTTCTCAAGTGATCTGGAGAATGCTGAGGTTCTCAGTGACTTCTTTACC